CACAACCACCCACTCGACCCACCTACCCAAAATCCCACCTACCCCGCGTCCCAGGAGCCGCCCCCCGCCTACCTTGCCGCATGATGTGGGTATATAAACAGCTCCCCGTACGCAGATGTCAGGCCTCTTCATCAAGTCCCCTTACCAGCAACATGAAGCTTGTGAGTACAGTGTTGGACAGCGTCACGGCTGCTTAGTATGACTATTCCAGCATACACAGTGATGTATTATATATTCTGCAAGGATTTATTAAGAAATTGATAAGGACATTTCGAAGCATATGTTCGTTTTGTAGCTTTCAAATAGAGAACGAATCTTGAAGTGACTATCAATTCCCGCTTGATCAAAAGCAACGCTTTAAGGTATATTTTCTTAGAAGTGAAAGATAGAAAAGATGATGAGCTATTTATTCAGTTGAATATGAATGTTTGCTGCGATCAAAACTGGCTTTCAGTCATCTGATTGTCAGGGTGATAAGAGATTGATAGAAGTTAAGAACACCCGAATATATTAATTAACGTATATATATAGATATGTTCAGGAATCAAGATTGAAACTTGCCCTCAGTATCATGTAAAATTAAGCAGAATTGAGAGTTCGATTTCTTAGTAAGGAGTAAGAAGGCACAAGAAATATTTACGGGTCTTTCCTGACGGTCACAGGTTCTGCTCGCCCTCTTGGTCGCCCTGGCCGCCGCCGCCCCTCGCCCTGATCAGGACGCAGAGACCTTGGTGGACGAGCGCGAGGACAAAGGTGACGGCAGTTTCAATTACCAATTTGAAACCAGCAATGGACTCGCCGAGGAACGTGTCGGCACCATTGGCGCTGAGGGCCAGAGCAACTTCCAAGGCAGCTACAGGTATGCAAATCCTCCTGACTCACCTTCCATTCGAGTGAACGCTCTTTGTTGCATAATAGTTACAATAAATATTATAAGATTGTACGCCAAGAAATCCCATTATGACAGTATTTTATGTGTCGCTTCTCTTCTCAGATTCACTCTTCCCGACGGCACCGTCGCCGAGGTCACCTACGTCGCCGACGAGAACGGCTTCAGGCCCGAGTCTCCGCTGATCCCCACGCCCCACCCCCTCCCCGCTCATGCCCTCGCACAGATAGCCTTCGCCGAGGAGCAGCGCGCTAGGGGCATCACCTTCGAGAAATAAGGAGGATATTGACCTACTCTACGACGACTTTGCTAACGACCTTTATGTACATACTTTACTCTGGACCTCCAACTTGTCCATCTATCCTTTCATAAGCCATCGGTATAACCCGTTTAAAATAAATTGAATCATCTGATAAAACTTTTTGTTTACCAACCTCTGCTAATGAGCATCATTATTATTATTACTATAATTACTATATATATATATATATATATATATATATATATATATATATATATATATATATATATATATATATATATATATATATATATATATATATATATATATATATATATATATATATATATATATATATATATATATATATATATATATATATATATATATATATATATATATATATATATATATATATATATATATATATATATATATATATATGCGAACAAGCCTGAATGGTCCCCAGGACTATATGCGGCTGAAAATTCTCACCCCAGAAGTGACTCGAACCCATACACTCAGGAGCAACGCAACTGGTAACTACAGGACGCCTTAATCCGCTTGACCATCACGACCGGACATAAGGAAGTGATAGTCGAACCTATTTGAACCACTTTCCCGCCGGCACTCGAATGGTAATCTTGGGCATAGCATTTTATCAAATCACCTCATTCCTTGGGGCACACATGAGGAACACAAATGCGAACAAGCCTGAATGGTCCCCAGGACTACAGCAACACAACTGTAGTTACCAGTTGCGTTGCTCCAGGGAGTATGGGTTCGAGTCACGTCTGGGGTAGTTTTCATTCATATATATATATATATATATATATATATATATATATATATATATATATATATATATATATATATATATATATATATATATATATATATATATATATATATATATATATATAATACTCAAGGCTCGTCCTGATTTTCTCATGGATATATCACTTTAATGTGATTTCTTTGTGCAATGAGAGAAGAGCGTAGGAGGTAGAATTCCTTGAGTACAAGCCAGAGTGGATAAGGGCACTGAATGAAACCCTGATTAGTCTTCAATGAAAGCCTCAGGCACCCTAAAAAGTTCATTTGAATTGCAGTTTGTAAATGCGTTACCATGTCGTGGTGTCGTGGTTTAGAACGGTTGCCTGGGAGTTTCAATCATGTACATGAGTGCATGGTTTGAATCTTCGTCATGTCCCCTACTGATCTTCTCATTGATAAATCACGTTAATGTGATACCTTATGCAATAATAATAGTAACGACAAAAATAATAATAATAATAATAATAATAATAATAATAATAATAATAATAATAATAATAATAATAATAATAATAATAATAATAATAATAATAATAATAATAATAACGATAATATTATTAATATAATATATTCTTGTAGCACAACAAAAAAGTAGTTTGAAATTGGCAATGTAAGTCGTAACATCCTTAATGGACGTGCAGTGCCACTTGCAGCCGCTCTGTTAGTAAAAATCTATAGGTCAGCATCCTTCTTCTCAGTTGCTGGAAAGATCTTTATAAAAATCTTAGTTTTAAGACTAGGAAAAACACCCTAATAAATATTAAATGCTAAATAACAACCAATTTGGTTTTAGAAGTAAAGGATGCACATCAGATTTGCTACTACTCTAGTTGACCACAAAATAGAACTTGAAAATATGTCCTAACTTTTAATGTTGTTGGAGTACTGGATAACAAATCATTGATATACACTCAAATTACCCTATTACGTTAGGAAATTGATAAGAATCTGTCCTTAGGAAGACGTGATAGAATTAAGAAGCCAAATGCGCTAGGAAACTAGCTTATCTACGGATGGAAGCGAATCATCAAGACACTTAAGGATGTATAACCTCTACAGCTCGCAAATCTGATCTATAATGAAGCTCTCACCAAATTTGGGATTTATGTCTACAGTTTTACCTGAAGTTGTTAAGAGATAATTCAAGATAGAGCCGAGCAACTAGAGAGATGTAAACTTATTTTATCTGACCCAGTGCCGTACATCCAGACTCTCCAACACAGAAGATATGTGGCTAGTCCGTGTTTTCTACAAAGTTCACAGAATGTAGCCCTTTACCCTCCTCCGTATTATGCTTCTCAAGTTTAATTTACATAACAAGAGGTGCGGTAGGTGACTACCAGACATAATTTTTTTGCATAAACACGACAATTTCGACGCTCTTACCACCCGAAATAAGAATAATATTTTTTGGAACACATTTTGGCAGCAGACTGGAGACCAAATCATAGTAAATTCAGCAATTCAAATACAGTATTATGCAAATATATGGCTAATAACACAACAGTATTCAATGAAAGCATATATATTCTTACAGTATTACAAATTATGCAAATTGCAGTTATATTTTATAAGCTCATAAATAAACACTTACAAGTGACGTGTAAAACTAAAACAACAATAATAATAATAATAGTAATAACAATAATAATAATAAAAATAATAATAATAATAATAATAATAATAATAATAATAATCACACAGAAATCATATTAAAGTGATATATATCAATAAGGAAATCCACTAGGGATATAGGTTCGCGCTCACCTATGACCACGCATTATCACACCGCATATTCTACCACTAGACCATCACTGACTTGCCAAAGTCCAGCGGTAGAGTACGCAGCCTGGCAATGCTGTGGTCGTAGGTTCACACCCACACACAGGCCAAGTGGATTTTCTCAAATTAATAATAATAATAATACAAAGAAATCACAGTGGTGTGATATATCAATGAGAAAATCAGTTGGGACAGTGAGGTGGCTTGAATCGCGTTCTAATGATACCCAGGTGCTCGACTTAACCCACTCGGTCACGATAGGACAAAAGCCCATCAACCCGGAACTCATTGGGAACGTCTGGAGGACCCAACTAGTGTCACAACAAGTATTTTACGAATGACCCGCTTACACTCTGGCCTGCGGGTAATAATGTTCCTTCAGGACGCAAAGAAATTACATTCACTAGAACGCTGGTTCAAATCACCTGATTGCCTGAAAATATTTTTTCTATAACAATGGGTAAAGGTATACAGTTTGTTTAGGATTTTAAAAGATAATGTGGCATGGCACTTTATACAAAATCATACTAATTTAGCAAATTTGCCCCCTCACCTGTAGTGAGTACTGGTTCCCTTCAGACAATCCAGTAAGTAAATACCTCCCCTCATTTTAGCACTGTTTGTATACTAACCTAAGCATTATTTAATCTATTCCATAATACCTACGGTAAACCTAACCTAAGCTAATCTAAACTAATCATATACATCCTAACCTATGATAAACCTAACCTAAACTAATCATATCCATCTTAACCCCTGATAAACCTAACCTAAACTGAGCATATCCATCCTAACCTATTATCAACTTAACCTAACCAAAATTTAATCATTCCTAACCTAACCTAACCTTGCCTATGCTAACTTCATTCAAACAAGCTCCAGACCACTTACAAACGAACGTAAACACGTTTAAGACAAAATTTCATACACTAATAACTATATAGAGAATAGTTCTTACAATCTTAAGCATAGTATTGCAATATGTTATTGAGACAGGATGCTTACGACAACAAATTATCCACTCGAGGGACTGAGAAGGACGTTGGCGAGTGTGCACCACAGGCCTCAGGACCAGAATTCTTTGACCTTGCTATCTCCCTTCCTTATTCAACCTCAAACCCGAGACCTCCCCTCGCCCCCACCACAACTCTCACTCTCTACACAACCACCCACTTGACCCACCTACCCAAAATCCCACCTACCCCGCGTCCCAGGAGCAGCCCCCCGCCTACCTTGCCGCATGATGTGGGTATATAAACAGCTCCCCGTACGCAGATGTCAGGCCTCTTCATCAAGTCCCCTTACCAGCAACATGAAGCTTGTGAGTACAGTGTTGGACAGCGTCACGGCTGCTTAGTATGACTATTCCAGCATGCACAGTGATGTATTATATATTCTGCAAGGATTTATTAAGAAATTGATTAGGACATTTCGAAGCATATGTTCGTTTTGTAGCTTTCAAATAGAGAACGAATCTTGAAGTGACTATCAATTCCCGCTTGATCAAAAGCAACGCTTTAAGGTATATTTTCTTAGAAGTGAAAGATAGAAAAGATGATGAGCTATTTATTCAGTTGAATATGAATATGTTTGCTGCGATCAGAACTGGCTTTCAGTCATCTGATTGTCAGGTTGATAAGAGATTGATAGAAGTTAAGAACACCCGAATTTAATAATTAACATAAATATATAGATATGTTCAGCAAGTCAAGATTGAAACTTGCCCTCAGTATCATGTAAAATTAAGCAAAATTGGGAGTTCGATTTCTTAGTAAGGAGTAAGAAGGCACAAGAAATATTTACGGGTCTTTCCTGACGGTCACAGGTTCTGCTCGCCCTCTTGGTCGCCCTGGCCGCCGCCGCCCCTCGCCCTGATCAGGACGCAGAGACCTTGGTGGACGAGCGCGAGGACAAAGGTGACGGCAGTTTCAATTACCAATTTGAAACCAGCAATGGACTCGCCGAGGAACGTGTCGGCACCATTGGCGCTGAGGGCCAGAGCAACTTCCAAGGCAGCTACAGGTATGCAAATCCTCCTGACTCACCTTTGATATTACATGATTGTACGCTAAGAAATCCCATTATGACAGTATTTTATGTGTCGCTTCTCTTCTCAGATTCACTCTTCCTGACGGCACCGTCGCCGAGGTCACCTACGTCGCCGACGAGAACGGCTTCAGGCCCGAGTCTCCGCTGATCCCCACGCCCCACCCCCTCCCCGCTCATGCCCTCGCACAGATAGCCTTCGCAGAGGAGCAGCGCGCTAGGGGCATCACCTTCGAGAAGTAAACTGGAGATAAATGGCCTCCTCTATGACCTTGATAACGACCTTTACGTATATATTCAACCTCAAACTTCAACATGTCAGTCTATCCTTACATAGTCCATCGGTATCACCTGCTTAAAATAAAATCTTATGAATATTTTTGCACCTATGCTTATACCTTCCTTAACTAATATCTGAGAACTCATTACCAGTAATGAAACTTTCAATACGATCGAGAAACTAAACATATACGCTACATCATGATTTTAACAATCTAATATTAATAAAATAGGATGTCTGTCATTCTCTGTCCACGCTTTGAGGACAGACGCATGGGGCTTGCATCACTAAATTTTTCAGTAGGGAGATTGATGCCAGTTTTGGGACAGCCATTTGTGGGGTTGGGGTCCACCCCCCATATCCCCGTCCCCTCTATACATGAAATATAAATTATACCAAATTCCTATATCTCTATATCCGCATTAAAATTTATCCCGCATATTATTTTCAAAGGGATGTTTAAGCGTTGGGAGGGAGGAAATTATTAAAGAAAAAGCGCCAAGCCATTACGACTATATAGCACTGCGAAGGGGTTAGGATATGGATTTGGGATGGGACGGAGGGAAGGAATGGTGCCCAACTACTTGGACGGTCGGGGGATTGGGCGCCGACCTGTATGAAGCGAGACCGTCGCTCAACCGTCCAGCCCAAGTGTTTGGAAGCTACTAGACTGAAGAGAAATCTAGCTAGAGTACGACGCTTGCGCGTGTAGGTAAGATGGTTACAGTAATGCCGATAGTGTGTAGTGAAGATGGCTACAGTGATGATGGTCGTGTGTGGTGTAGATGGTTACAGTGATGAGGGTCGTGTGTGGTGTAGATGGTTACAGTAATGAGGGTCGTGTGTGGTGTAGATGGTTACAGTAATGATGGTCGTGTGTGGTGTAGATGGTTACAGTAATGATGGTCGTGTGTGGTGTAGATGGTTACAGTGATGATGGTCGTGTGTGGTGTAGATGGTTACAGTGATGAGGGTCGTGTGTGGTGTAGATGGTTACAGTGATGTGGGTCGTGTGTGGTGTAGATGGTTACAGTGATGATGGTCGTGTGTGGTGTACATGGTTACAGTGATGAGGGTCGTGTGTGGTGTAGATGGTTACAGTGATGAGGGTCGTGTGTGGTGTAGATGGTTACAGTGATGATGGTCGTGTGTGGTGTACATGGTTACAGTGATGATGGTCGTGTGTGGTGTACATGGTTACAGTGATGAGGGTCGTGAGTACTGTAGTTGGGTCATACGTTTTTCACCCGAGCCGCCCAGGTACCCAAGCTTGTGTTCCATATAAATAAAAAATATGATTAGAACAAAGGTTGCTACTGGTAAACAGGTTATGGATACTTCATCTTTAGATAACGAAAAGAGGAAGAACAGCGTCCTCCGGGTAGTGTAATCCAGGGAAGTAAACAATGGTAAGGACCAAAGTACTGTACCGGCGGAAGGTATTCCAATGAGTAGTGTAGACTATAATACTGTTCCCCCAGATTAGTTTGCCCCAAGGTAGTGTATTTCAGGGTATAGTGATCGGACCAAACATGAAGTTAATCGTAACTCTTAAACAGATGATCTCACACTTTGCTTTAGACATAAAAGATAACGTAAATCACATCAATAAAACGCTCATAACTATTACATACTGGAAACAATGAGAGCAAGTTAACGTTATCCCCCAAAATAATAAACTCCGGCAAACAAAAGCTCGACATGTGAAAGATGGCGCAGCTTAACGTGATAGGAAATTTGCATGTCTTAAGAGGGTCGTACATCACCGTGAAGCAGGTAATAATTATCAGAAGACGTCACACCGGGAAGACTGTAGCCCCGTCACCGTGACGCAGGGAAGTGTTCAACACAACAGACCCACAAACTAGGTCAGTCATGATTGAAGTTCCAGAAATTTATGATTGCTGTCCCCGAACTAATTCACATTTTAAGGAAAACGTTCACGACAGTACAGGTATTTAATATGGTCTAAATTTAAACCACTCGACCGAATACCGCACATATAGACTTTCCTACAAAGATGAGATGTGGCTTGTTGGTGTTCATTTTGCCTAATTCCCATATGCGTTCCCTACTCTGAGCTTCTCCCCACCATCCTTCCTTGAGAATAAAATACCCCCTCCCCCCCCCCCCATAAAAAAAAATGTTCACCTATAACCAGATACATGTTCCCTGTGCAAGTAAAGAGAAGTTTAGACGCTCGTTTCACCAAATTATGCATAATTCAGAAACTTGGGTAGTCAACTGGCCCGCAAAAAGCAACAGCCCGTTCTCAGACAAAATCCATTACATCCAGCGGTCGACCCCAAAGTCGCATTCAGCAATTATAATATTCTGTTCATTGTAAACGGGAATTTTCTCAAATATAAATTAATATTATTATATATTGGCAGATTGTTTATATTTAGGCATTGGTTAGGTTAGGTGTTTAGGTTCTGTTGGCGATTATTTGCAGTTGAGTGTGTAAACCGTTTTACATTCACAACAAGGGGTCTGCGGGAGCCTGGAATGGACCTTGGCCTTTGTTTATGAGGTCGGGCTGAAAAGCATAGTCTCTCTATCAATTCAAGTCTCGTAAACATATGGCTAATAGCATAAACTCGAATCCTAGCAGTTTCTTCATACCCGAACTACTGCAACAGAAAACGTTCATATTACCACATAACCAAAACGTAAAGTACAAGAAAAAACTTGTTAACTAATAATAATAATAATAATAATAATAATAATAATAATAATAATAATAATAATAATAATAATAATAATAATAATAATAATAATAATAATAATAATTTACAAGGAAATCACATTAACATGTTGAATCAGTAAGAAAGAGTGTACACGGGTAATGTGTAACGACTTGATGTATCAGCTCGAGGCCTCAAGTCCCTTTAGTGGTCGTTTACAAGACAACAGCAATGATCCTATAACAATCATTGGTCTATTGGTTATGGTACTCTGTACGCCAAGGAGTGAGCCTGGGCAGTGGGCTTCGAATCTTGATCGGGTCAATTGGGTTCATAGTGATTAGTGGCTCGTGCCTTCACGCAGCTTTTGTGGCACTCACACACACATCCATCCATGGTTCCATGGCGGGCAGGAACCATGCATGCAGTGTGCGTTTCCTCTCTGTATTGCTACACTAAGGCACTGAAAGAGGAAGCTGATAGTTCTGAGGTCTGTTGCTGTTTCAATTAGCTTATTATGAGAAGGATTAAGACAGAGGAGGAAAGCATGAGGCTTCAAGAAGACCTGGACAAACTGAAGGAATGGTCCTAGAAATGGTTGTTAGTGTTTAACCCAAGCAAATTTAATGTAATGTAGATAGGTGTAGGCAGCAGGAGGCTAGATACAAAGTATCATTTGGGAGATGAAATTCTTCAAGAATTAGAGAGAGAGAAAGACCTGGGGATTGATGTCACACCAAACCTCTCCCCTGAAGCCCATATCAAAAAGACAACCTCAGCGAGCCTGTGTGGGTGTGCTCACCTATTTGTATTCACCTATTTGTGCTTGCAGGATCGAGCATTGACTCTTGGATCCCGCCTTTCTAGCCTTTGGTTGTTTACAGCAATGACTCCTGTCCCAATTCTCTATCATATTTAGTTTTAAAATTATGAATAGAGTTTGCTTCCACAACCTGCTCCTTAAGTGAATTCCATTTTTCCACTACTGTCACGCTAAAAGAATACTTCCTAACATCTCTGTGACTCATCTGAGTTTCCAGCTACCACCCATGTCCCCTCGTTCTGTTATTATTACTTGTGAACATCTCATCTATTTCTACTTTGTCAATTCCCCTGAGTATTTTATACGTTCCTATCATATCCCCCCTCCCCTTCTTTTTTCTAGCATCGTAAGGTTCAGTTCCTTCAGGCGCTCTTCATATCCCATCCCTCGTAACTCTGGGACAAGCCTCGTCGCAAACTTCTGAACCTTTTCCAGTTTCCTTATATGTTTCTTCAGGTGGGGACTCCATGATGGCACGGCATACTCTAAGACTGGTCTCACGTAGGCAGTGTAAAGCGCCCTAAAAGCCTCCTCACTTAGGTTTCTGAATGATGTTCTAACTTTTGCCAGTGTAGAGTACGCTGCTGTCATTATCCTATTTATTTGTGCCTCAGGAATTATATTAGGTGTTACGTCCACTCTCAGGTCTCTTTCTCGAATCGTCACAGGTAGGCAGTTCCCCTTCATTGTGTACTGTCCCTTTGGTCTCCTATCACCTGATCCCTTTTCCATGACTTTACATTTACTTGTGTTGAACTCCAGTAGCCATTTCTCTGACCATCTCAACAACCTGTCCAGGTCCTCTTGGAGGATCCTACAATCCTCATCTGTCACAACTTTTCTCATTAACTATGCGTCATCCGCGAACATTGGCATGTAGAATTCCACTCCTGTAAACAAATCATTTACGTAAATTAGAAATACAATTGGTTCAAGCACCAATCCTTGAGGTACTCCACTCGTTACTGTTCGCCAGTCCGACTTCTCGCCCCTTACCATTATTCCCTGGCTCTTTCCTGTTAGGTAGTTCCTTACCCATGACAGGGCCTTTCCAGTTACTCCTGCCTGCCTCTCAAGTTTGAGAAGCAGTCTCATGTGCGGCACTGTATCAAAGGCCTACGTGTGTGTGTGTGTGTGTGTGTGTGTGTGTGTGTGTGTGTGTGTGTGTGTGTGTGTGTGTGTGTGTGTGTGTGTGTGTGTGTGTGTGTGTGTGTGTGTGTGTGTGTGTGTGTGTGTGTGTGTGTGTGTGTGTGTGTGTGTGTGTGTGTGTGTGTGTGTGTGTGTGTGTGTGTGTGTGTGTGTGTGTGTGTATGTGTGTGTGAGTGTGTGTGTGTCACATTATTCATTAATATGACACCAATTACATTATTATTAACAGAATATACCTCAAACAGTGTTTATGTAGGCCAGACGTAAATATATGAACTTATGTATGTAGTTAAGCATTCTAAAAGCACTACAATCACTTCTGTGGTTGATTGTTCAGTAAATCACTGAAGTATATGTACAACAGATCTCCAACACTGTTTATGAAGGACAGAAGAGCAGTGATTGACAGCACACGGTCCGTCACCGGTCAATAAATGCACAGTACACTACAAGGCGAGTATACACTATAAGTCTCATTACGAGTCATTGAATATACACCACAGGGTTCATCAACAGCCAGTGGGTATACACTACAAATATCATCACCAGTCAGTGAGTATACACTACAAATATCCTCACCAGTCAGTGAGTATACACCTCAAGGCTCATCATCAATCAATGATTATACAGAACAGAGGACAACATATATCATAACTAAGTATACAACTTAGGTTTCATCAGTAGTTAGTGAGTATATATCACAAGGTTCATCACCAGTCAATAAGTACCCCGTAATCTACAAGATGAGTATACACCACAGGTCTTAGCACGAGTCAGTGAGTATGTGCCACAAATGTCATCACTAGTTAGTGAATATATACCCCTCAAGGTGAGTAAGCACTACAAAGCTTTATCCCCGGTCAGTGAGTACACACCATAACTCATCACCAGTCATCCCACAGCTCCTCGACCTTGCCTTCTCTTCCAAGTCCCGACACCTTCCCCAGCAACCGCTGCAGACGCTCCTATACTTGACCCACCTACCCGTAGCTGCTGTTGATGGTCAAGGGGGTATATATACCGCCAGCCCAGGCACCAGCAGTCAGACGTGCTCAGCTAACCCTCACACCACCAACATGAAGCTTGTGAGTACTGGGCAGCAGCAGACAGTTGTTTATTGCGAGTCGTTCACGACAGCACTGGTGCTGCTGAGACATACTGAGACCGGCTTTGTGAATTGTTCTTTTTCTTGAAGATCTGAAGGAAAATGTTAAGGAGATGAAGGAATTAGAATTGATAAAATCTATAGCTATGAAAGGGTTATCAGTTTGACAGTCTATCCCTCTGTGAATAGACGCAGGGCACCTGACAGCTGAGTGGACAGCGCTTCTGATTTGTAGTCCTGAGGTTCCGGGTTCGATCCCCGGTGGAGGCGGAGACAAATGGCAAAAAGTTTCTTTCACCCTGATGCCCCTGTTATGTAAAGTAAATAGGTACCTGAGAGTTAAACAGTTGCTACGGGCTGCTTCCTGGGGGTGTGTAACAAAAAGGAGGCCTGGTCGAGGACCGGGCCGCGGAGACGCTAAGCCCCGAAATCATATCAAGGTAACCTCTGATTGAGGTTGCGGCCTGACGCCTTCGGCTAGCCTTAATAAACTTTGCCTAGTGACTGGTTTAGTCCGTGAATGGTCCTCGGCATGTCAAGGGAAATCTTGCTGTATAAAAGACTGCATTTTCGTTAAGATAACATTTTAAAGGAAAAGTCGTGAAGAGTAAAGAAGGTGGTGAAGGATATGGAAACTGTTGAAGAGTAGGGAAGGTGGTGAAGGGAAGGGAAGATGATAAAGGAGAGGGGAAATCGATGAAGTGTGCAGAAGGTGGTGTAGCGTAGCGAAGTCGATAAGGGATTGGCAAGGTGATGAAATGCAGGGAAGGTTGCGAAGGAGAGGGAAAGTGTGGCGGTGTGTAGTTAAGATGTAGTTAAATTTCCTGCAATTCATTTTGAAGCTTTGGTGTCCGTCACCCAAGCTAAGCCTTGTACTCTTTCTAGTAAAGTTATATACAGATTTGGATGTTAGTTTAGTCCTGTAAGTTGTTTTCAGTGTCATATATGGATAAACAGTATTTAGAAGGAGTGTCAGTAATATAAGCATCCCAACCAATCCTCCGGAAATGATAGTACTTAAGTAACTGTTTGGTCGAAGGTACTGATATGTAGAGATGAACTACCAGCAAACCAATGTCTGTACTATTAGTTTTATAGTCCGTAAAAATATTGCCAAAAATTATACTTAAAAATTCCTTGGCATAGTAGAACACGTATATATATGATATATTTGGCCGAAGAAAACTTGTATTCGGCTTTGGATTACTAGGAGAGGTTCGGTTAGGATATGATAGGTCCTATATTTATGTTGCAGTTAAAAAGGTTTCTGGTTTGTTCACGTTTAACAACAAATAGTCAACTTTCTGGTGGTGCATCACGTACAAATTTGTACTTTCGACTACATTACGATAAGTATTTTCAGTATAGGAGGGTGAACTGATTAATTCGTATGGTATATCAAGATATCTACTACAGTCTCTCTTGACGGCCGCAGGTTCTGCTCGCCCTCTTGGTCGCCCTGGCCGCCGCCGCCCCTCGCCCTGATCAGGACGCAGAGACTTTGGTGGACGAGCGCGAGGACAACGGTGACGGCAACTTCAAATACAAATTTGAAACCAGCAATGGACTCGCCGAGGAACGTGTCGGCACCGTTGGCGCTGAGGGCCAGAGCAACTTCCAAGGCAGCTACAGGTATGCAAATCCTCCTGACTCACCTTCCATTCGAGTGAACGCTCTTTGTGGCATAATAATTGCATAAAATATTACATGTTTGTACGCCAAGAAATCCCATTAACACAATGTTTTGTATGTATTCCTTCTCTTCTCAGATTCACTCTTCCTGACGGCACCGTCGCCGAGGTCACATTCATCGCCGACGAGAACGGCTTCAGGCCCGAGTCCCCGCTGTTGCCCACGCCCCATCCCCTACCCGCCCACGCCCTCGCACAGATCGCCTTCGCCGAAGAGCAGCGCGCTAAGGGCGTAGTTTTCGAGAAATAAATCGTAGATTAGTCAAGTTATTGACTGTTGACATGACATCCTGTGATCTTCGCAATATTTCCCCTTCTATTCCATGTATTTAACTCGATCACAGAGAAAGTTTGCTTTTCTGTGCATCACTATTCCAGCGCACTATCTAGGTGTAACCATGTGTTAAAATAAAACATTTATGCAAAAAATTATACTATGATTTTCCTTTTCTGATGTCGTCTCCCTCACTGGAGGCTTTGTCTGCTGATATTTTTAAATATATAATCTACAAATATCAGAGGAAGTGAAATGCTGTGAAACACATAACATGATATATGAGAAAACACGTATAATCACAAACACATATATTAGCTCTGTATAAAAATGATTTCTGGGAAGTAGGTGTTATTTTCTGATTGTTAATGTCTGCAAGGTAGAGAAAATAGATTTTAATTCCCCTAAAACTTCCTTAATCCTTTGCCTCAGCTTAGGGAAGATACCTGAAGGCTGCGAACTTGGGAAACATTATGTCACAGCTTCAAATAGGGAGTCAGCAGCCTTCAAGTTCCTTCACGTTGCTGTCTTAGGCAAAGTTCAAAGCACTTCCCTCGCCTCCCTCCCTTCCTCTGGTGTGATGGTTCTCTATATATCGCCGGAGGAAATGATGTTGGTCGAGTTAGGAGTGAGGAACTGATTCAGAGGTATAAAACAGCCATATAATTAGTTAGGAGCAAGGGAGGAATCCCGATCATATGTGGCATTCTTCCATGAAAGGGAGTTGGAAATGAATGGTCGTCGAGGGCACTTGGTGTCAATTGCCTGCTGGAAAGATATTGGAAATCAAATGCAATATCTTTCATAGATAACTGGGAACACTTCTATGGAAGAAATGAAATGTATGCTCGGGATGGGGTGCATCTATCGAGGGCTGGGGTTGTTGTTGTTGCGAACTCGTTGGAACCAGTGATTGGAGGCGTTTGTTTGAGTTTAAACTGTTAGTAGATAGTGGTATGGGAATTGATTTGGAGGAAGGAGGTAATAAAAGTATGTGTTTGTAGAAGAAAGAAATTGGCAAAATGATCATGGAAAGAGAAGGGCCTCAAAATAACAATACACTTAGGGTATATTACACTAACAGTAGAAGTCTAAGTAAGAAAATAAACGAATTAAATGCTCTTGTCACTACAGAAAAAATAGATATTATTGCACTTACCGAAACGTGGATGAATGTAGAAAATAGAGAATAATTACCTGATTATCAGATAAATGGATTTAAACTATTTCACACAGATAGATATATTAGACAAGGAGGGGGAGTAGCCATATATGTTAGGGACAATTTGAAATGTAGTCTCAAAGAGGGAATCAAAACTGAGCCACACAGAAACTATTAGAAAGAATTAAAAGAAAAGCAAATAATCTTATAATAGGAGTTATATATAGACCACCAAATTTAGACAGAATGGAAGCAAATCATCTATGGGATGAAATATCTAAAGCATCTAGGTCTAAAAGTAATTGTGTCATGGGTGACTTTAATTTTAATGGAATAAACTGGATTAACAGAACAGGGAATATCGAAGCAGAAGATTTTATAGAATTAATTGACGATTGCTTCTTACGCAACACATTAAGGAACCAACGCGAGAAAATAATATTTTAGATTTAGTGTTAACTAACAGGGAAACACAAATTAATGACATCGAAATTGGGAGTGTACTAGGGAACAGTGATCACAAAGAAATCAGATTTAGCATAGAATGGAATAGATCTGTAAGAGAAAATTCTGTTAAAGTGCCAGATTTTCGTAAAGCTAATTTTAATATCCTAAGAAATTGTTTGGATCAAATAGACTGGAAAATCTTGGGCATAGGGGGCGGGCCGGTCTTGGAGCAAGACGTGAGCTCAGCGATGTGTGATGTAATGGAGGATCTCGATTTGGATTCAAAATATAACTTATTTGCAAATATTCTAAGCAAAGCACAGGAAAGTAGTATACCTTACAAATTGAATAGATCAAATACAAATGACCCGAAATGGATAATAAAGGATCTGAAAAACCTTATAGGTAGAAAGAGAGCTTGGTACAAAAAGATTATGAATGGGGAAGTCATTTTAGAACAAGAATTCGCACAACTGGTTAGAAATGTTAAAAAAGAGATAAGGAGAGCAAATAGAAATAGTTTAAATCCATTAATCTGATATTCAGCTAATAGATCCCTATTTTCTACATTCATCCACGTTTCGGTAAGTGCAATAATGTCCATTTTTTCAGTGCAGACAAGAGCATTTAAATAGTTTATTTTGTTTCTTACACTTCTACTGTTAGTGTAATATACCCTAAGTGTATTGCTATTTTGAGGCCCTTCTCTTTCCCTGATCATTTTGCCAATTTCTTTCTCCCACAAACACATACTTTTATTACCTCCTTCCTCCATACCAATTCCCATACCACTATCTACTAACAGTTTAAACCCAAACCCAGACAAACGCCTCTAACCACTGGTTCCAACGAGTTCGCCACAGCAACAACCCCAGCCTTCGATAGATGCATCCCATCCCGAGCATACATTTCATTTCTTCCATAGAAGTGTTCCCAGTTATCTATGAAAGATATTGCATTTGATTTGCAGTATCTTTCCAGCCGGCAATTGACACCAAGTGCCCGCAGCAACAATTCATTTCGAATAGTTGTCGACGGCACTCGACAACACTCGACATGAAGCAGCATTCATGAAGCAACAAACATGAAGCAGTAGACAAATGAAGCAGCAGACATATGAAACTGCAGCTATATGAAGCAGTAGATATATGAAGCGGTCGACATATGAAGCAGAAGATATATGAAGCTGCAGCCATATGAAACTGCAGACATACGAATTTGCAAATATACGAAGCTGAAGACATATGAAATTGCAGACATACAAAGCAGCAGACACATAAAGCTGCAGACATATGAAGCAGCAGACATATGAAGCAGCAGACATATGAAGCTGCAGAAATATGAAGCAGCAGATATATGAAGTTGCAGACATATGAAGCAGCAGGCATTTGAAGCAGAAGACATGAAGCAGCAGACATATGAAGCAGCAGATATATGAAGCTGCAGACATATGAAGCAGCAAACATATGAAGCAGCAGACATATGAAACTGCAGCCATATGAAGCAGTAGACATATGAAGCGGTAGACATATGAAGCTGAAGACATATGAAGCTGCAAACGTATGAAGCTGCAGACATATGAAGCTGCAGACGTATGAAGCTGCAGGCGTATGAAGCTGCAGACATGTGCAGCTGCAGGCGTATGAAGCAGCAGACATGCGGAGATACAGACATAAGTTAGCAGGGAAGTGAGGCAGTTTACACTTAAGTAACAGTGGGCATTTCCTCTCTGGACTGCCACACTAAAGCGCTGAAAGAGGAAACTGTCATCTCTAGGGTTTCTAGTGGTTTCAGTTAGCTTAGAACCCAGCTCCTTCAAAAAACTAGTAGCAGTTTGACGTCAGGCACCAAGTGTAATTGAGGCAATGGGGACAAAATTGTAGCAGTGATTGAGACCTCTATATTTACGAGACTTGGCAGCTTCCCGGTGATTGGCAGCACCGCCTAGCTGTGCAACACTGAAGTCATTATAGGTGTTGGCCAAAGTTGAAACGCAAGTGTAGTCCCTTACCAACTGTCTACCATTCTTCGATTGGTTCACTGTGATCCTGTCTGGGCGACCGACAGGCTCATCAGAGTTGCGGGGCATTAGGAAACGAAGTTCTCTTTCTGCTGGACAACCGGCTGTTGTAAGGCTTCTCTTGATAATGTCATTTACCTCACTGTGTCTTGCATGCCATCCTCCTGTGCTTTGGCAGAGTAGGCCATGCCGTCCGTACTTGTCGGTCACTACCTTGCTGCTAACACTCCTATATTCGGTGTAGATTGTGGCAGAGAGGCGTTTCTTTATTATTATTCGTGTTTTCTTGTGTATAATATATATATCACGTTATGTCCATTACACATACATTATTACCAGAACATTTATTATTTGTGAAATCTCAGTTCATCATAGGATTTTTGTTTACAAAACTTTAGACTTTACAAAAAGTCTCCATTTTTAGTCTCCAACTAAGAATTCGCAGACATGGCCTCTAGTGAGGAAGACGACAGCAAGAGAGGAAGAGTATAGCATAATTTCAGCATAAACATTTTATTTTAACATATGACAACATTAGGTAGTGCGCAGGAATAGTGATACAGAGGAAAGCAAACTTTCTCTGTGATCGAGTTAAATTCATGGAGGGAAAGAACAAATGCTACGAGGGAAGGGAGATGGTGGGTTAAGATCACTGGCTGATAGATGGGAACTATCAGGGGAAAGTGCCACGCCATTACAACTATTTAGCACTGGGAAAGGGTCAGGATTAGGATTTGGCATGGGACGGAGGAAAAGGAATGGTGCCCAACCACTTGGACATTTGGGGATTGAACGCCAACCTGCACAAAGCGAGACCGTCGCTCTATCGTCCAATCCAAGTGGTTGAACTAGAAAGGTCAAGAACTTGACTAATCTACGCCTTATTTCTCGAAGGTGACACCCTTAGCGCGCTGCTCTTCCGCAAAGGCGATCTGTGCAAGGGCGTGGGCTGGGATGGGGTGGATCAGCGGAGATTCGGCCCTATAGCCGTTCTCGTCGGCGACGTAGGTGACCTCGGCGACGTTGCCGTCAGGAAAAGTGAATCTGAGAAGAGAAAAACATATGAAGTACTGTAATATCGTAATTTCTTTACATATGAACGTAATTTTCATGTAATTATTAAAAAAAATGGTTACTACAACGGAAGGTGAGTCAGGAGGATTTGAGTACTAGTAAATGCCTTGTATCTTTATTTACCTGAAGGAACCTTGGAAGTTGCTCTGGCCCTCAGCGCCAACGGTGCCGACACGTTCCTCGGCGAGTCCATTGCTGGTTTCAAATTTGTATTTGAAGTTGCCGTCACCGTTGTCCTCGCGCTCGTCCACCACGGTCTCTGCGTCCTGCTCAGGGCGAGGGGCGGCGGCGGCCAGGGCGACCAAGAGGGCGAGCAGAACCTGCGGCCGCCAGGAGCAAGTAATTAGTTTTGCATTTTATGTAGACTTAAAACTAAGATCTTATTTAGGCACCCAATTTTCAGCCACGTTATTGCGACTTTCTGTCTGCATAAGGAATTATTTTTTACTAACCACTATTCCCCATGTTTCCTTTTACCATGAAGCTGAGCGGAACTCACTCGTTAAGAGTAAGAAAGTTGAGCATTCATAGAGAAGCATAGTTGCGGTACATAGTTCTAAATTAAACTTATAACAATGGATTATTGATGACTATGTACATTAACCCCTATATGTAATTCCTAAGCGAAACAGATTACAATATACTTATTATACTCGCCTGCACCAAAACTCAGTTCTCAGTTAAGACAACAAATGTATAATGAACGGTGCAGCAACGATATTAAAACCACCTTACAGGCTCCAATTTGAACTTTCAATAAAAGCTTGTCTCTGCTAGGCTCTTTACTGCAAGGTAGTAATAGGGGCTGTTCAACACTGACCTAGTTAAAAGGTTTTGTTACAGGCACAAGCAAGGCACCCAAAACTTGACTTTATATAACTATAGCAGTACCAATAATATTACAAGCCGATATCCCTCAGAATATCGGGATATTCTGAGGGATATCGGCTTATGGACACCTCGCTGGGTCCACAATGATTTATTCTATTCTATTCATGCACACTGCGTGTATTTATTTTTAACTACGGAGAAGTTGAGGTGCAAAACCGTTTTGTAAACTTTACTTCCATGGAGAGTCTTCTAGCCAAGTATCGAGACACCAGTTCACTAAGAGAGATTGAGGAGGCGCAATGATTCAAGCTCGAAATAGCCGCCAGTACTCACAAGCTTCATGTTGACGGTGTGAGGATCTGCTGAGGATGTCTGCAGAGTGCTCGGGTAGAGCTATATATACCCCCACCAGCACCCCGGGCTGGTGGTGGAGAAGGGGTAGTGGAGAAGGGAGTAGCGAAGGAGGACTAGGAGAGAGAGAGAGAGGTGGGGGGGGGGGGGGGGGGAGCAGGGAAGGTGTTAATAGAAGGGGTGGGGGGGGGGGGGAGTGTTAAAGAAAGTTGAGTGTGAAATGTGAAGATGAATAATCTTTCATTTGCTGTGAATGCCAACGAAGATACAGGAGGTGGGGAAGGGATGGGTTAAGGGATGAAAGTGAGGACGTGAATGGGGTGCAGGGTGAGGGCAGAGAGGGTGGGGATGGTATGGGGTTGATTGTGAGGTGTGTGTGAGAGAAGCGCCTCTGGTCATACACCAACCTCGTGGCCTATGATGCCGACACCGCTGTCCTGCGCAAACCCAACATGGCTTTGCAACGTATTTAAATAATCAATTTTGTTTTCTTGCAATTGACATTTGTCGACACCGAAATACAAACGAGGAGACCCCAAGTAAGTCAGAAAATTTACCTTGAAGGATGATCCATTATTATTGAATCATCCTTCCATATATAACACTCGGGTATTTCTCCACTTCCCTCAGTTATGGTAGTGGAGAAGTGACGGTAGCGTCCAGGAGCTCAGGTAGAAGAATTTCCGAGAAAATTCTTATTTTAAACATACCTTCGCAAGTGAATCCCGGGACCCAGGCCGTCTGGGCGTAGCACTTACATTTGTAAATCTGCTATTCTATCAGTGTTTGTTAGTCTATATGTCTGTCAGTCTTTGTGTTTGTCAGTCATTATGCCTGTCAGTTTTGTGTCTACCAGTCTGCCAATTAAATTACAGTGGAATTATTTAAATTTTCCCCTCACGTGTCCTGATGTATGAGTACAGGCTAAATGTGAAAGGAAGATGCACAATCCTGTTAATTTATACCACTTAGAAACATAATAATTACCCGGAGAACACACAAAGGGACTTCTACAAATATATATATATATATATATATATATATATATATATATATATATATATATATATATATATATATATATATATATATATATATATATATATATATATATATATATATATATATATATATATATATATATATATATATATATGTGTATATTGTTTGTTTTCTTTGGCTGGTGAGCATCATGTGCCCTCCAGGCGGAGGTTGCCTCGCTGCGCTTGTGTACACTGGGCCAAGGAGAGTCAGGAGGACGAAGGATGACAGGGGAATGCATTACAGGTCGCTATATGTGCTGACGTGTTGTAAAGTTATCATATTATGTTAGTGAATGGAAAGTGTCATATTATGGAAGAGTATGATAGTTGTCATATTGTGTCAGTAAGTTGAAAGTTTCATATTGTGTCAGTAAGTTGAAAGTTTCATAGTATTTCAGGCAAACGAAGGTGTCATAATTTGTCAATGAGAGAAAGGTGTCTTAATAAGGAAGGTTCAGACTGTCATAATGTGTTAGGTTGTCATGATGTTTAGTTAAAAGCTGTCATGTTATACTAGGCTGTGACTGTGGAGTAAGTTGGCATATTACACCAGGATGTTGTCATATTATGCCTGTGAGTAATGTCAAATTAACTCATTTTTGTCATATAATGTCAGGGAGTGTCTTCACATTATGCCTGGAAGTGTTATCAGATCATGCACGGAAGAGTTGCCATAGTATGCCAGGAAGCAATACATATTATGCCGTGTGGTGTTGTCATATTACACCAGGAAATGTTGTCATGTTATGCCAGAAAGGGTTGTCATGTCATGCCAGGGAGAGTCGTTATATTACGTCAGGAAGTGATGTCATATTGTGCCAGGGAGAGTCGTCATATTATGCCAGAGTGTGTTGCCATATTATGACTGAAAGTGTTGTAATATTTTGCAAAGCAGTGTTGTCATATTATGTTGTCCTGGTTGATGGAGTTCTGGGAGTTCTTCTACTCCCCAAGCCCGGCCCGAGGCCAGGTTTGACTTGTGAGAGTTTGGTCCACCAGGCTGTTGCTTGGAGCGGCTAGAAGGCCCAAATATCCACCACAGCCCGGTTGGTTCGGCACTCCTTGGAGGAAACAATCTAGTTTCCTCGTGGACATCTTCAAGAGGAAAAGAGATTGTTTCCTCCAAGGAGTGCCGAACCAACCGGGCTGTGGTGGATATGTGGGCCTGCGGGCCGCTTCAAGCAACAGCCTAGTGGATCAAACTATCAAAAGTCAAGCCTGGCCTCGGGCCGGGCTTGGGGAGTAGAAGAACTCCCAGAACCCCATTAACCAGGTAATCAACCATGACGCTATAAATGTTGCCATATTATTTGTTGTGCAAGTTGTCACATTATAACAAGAGATGTCTCCTGTTCAGTCTCATGTCTGCATGTTGACATAATATACATTACAGAAAAATTTGTTATATAATGATTTATTCTATAAGTTGCCATACTTGGTAAAAAAAATGTGAGTTGTTAGATTATGTTAAGCGATACCAATTTTTACATTATGCAAGGCAATGGTGATTGCCATATCATGTTAGAAAGTCATAGGATTCCATAGCATATTAGGGACAGGGGATCCAGAAGTTACCTTATGTTAAGGTAACAATTGTCTTGAGAATAGTCCAGAACGGACTGAAACGTCATCGTCCCTTCACTTTCTAGTGTGCGGTTTGGTCAACATATTTCAGCCACGTTATTGTGACTCCTCGTCTGCTTACCTTATGTTAATCTGTTACTTAGTAAGTTTGTGTAAGTTGCCCTATAATGCAACTGTAAGTTGGAGTATATTATTGCTGCAATCTGCCATGCTGTATTAGTGTTGCCTGCCACCAATATTATGGGAATTCTAATATATGTCGCTATATTTGAGATAATTTTATCGCATGCGTAATCGCATCACAAACGACTGGACCCGAGTTCCATTCCCGGTGAACGACAGCGACGATTTGGCCCGTTACCTTACAATAGTTCTGTTCACCTAGCAGTACATAGATACCATGAAGTAAGGCAACTGTTGTGGGCAGTGTAACGTACGTTTATGTTGCGTTGTTGGGTAGATTAGATACACAGTGTTTAGTGAGTTTCATATTTATTTAGTAGTCCTGGATACAGCTGTGCCGTAGACGTTGAGATTTAACTAAATATGTAATTATGTCTAGATTCACGTTCCTTAAGGTGGTACAGAGCCCAACACTGTAGTACAGGTCCCACACAGTGGTACAGGTCCCACACAGTGGTACAGGTCCCACACAGTGGTACAGGTCCCACACAGTAGTACAGGTCCCACACAGTGGTACAGGTCCCACACAGTGGTACAGGTCCCACACAGTGGTACAGGTCCCACACAGTGGTACAGGTCCCACACAGTGGTACAGGTCCCACACAGTGGTACAGGTCCCACTCAGTGGTACAGGTCCCACACAGTGGTACAGGTCCCACACAGTGGTACAGGTCCCACACAGCGGTACAGGTCCCACACAGTGGTACACGTCCCACACAGTGGTACAGATCACCACACAGTGGTACAGGTCCCACACAGTGGTACAAGTCCTCTTCAGCGGTACAGCTCCCACACAGTGGTACAGCTCCCACACAGTGGTACAGGTCCCACACAGTGGTACAGCTCCCACACAGTGGTATAGGTCCCACACAGTGGTACAGGTCCCACACAGTGGTACAGGTCCCACACAGTGGTACAGGTCCCACACAGCGGTACAGATCCTACACAGTGCATGGTATAGGTCCCACACAGCGATACAGATCACCACACAGCGGTACAGATCACCACACAGCGGTACAGATCACCACACAGCGGTACAGGTCCCTCACAGTGGTACAAGTCCTCTACAGCGGTACAGCTCCCTCACAGTGGTACAGGTCCCACACAGTGGTACAGATCAATAGACCTTCACACACAGGGAACCGTCTGAGTGGCGACAAAATACATATAATAAACATAAATAAAGACCAAGGGGCACTCTTCATTAAGATTTGTTTTCATTGTTTCCTAGTAAAACTTAACATGCACAGAAATGCTTGAAATTATAAACAAAATATATTAATCCTTTAAATCAAATATTTGTTTAGTCATTTTAATATTATAATTTTATTTACTTAATTAATGTATTAATTTTATTTAATTAATTAAAGTATTAATTAATTTTAATTAATCAATGTATTAATATGATATAATTTATCAATGAATTAATTTGATTTAATTAATATATGAATTTGTGTTTAAATTAATAAACAAATAGAATAAAGAACTCCCACCACTTCCCATGGAGAGTTCTCCAGAACTCTCCGGACACCAAGCTTAACGCCCCAAAGGAAACCAACGTCGTCTATGCCTTCAGATGCCCACTCGGGGACAATAAGCCCCAAAGAACTCAGTATATAGGCAAGACAATAACGTCTCTTTCTAGGCGATTAACTATGCACAAACAACAGGGCTCCATAAAGGAGCATATAATCTCTTCTCACAACCAGACTAGCACCAGAGAAATCTTAACAAGCAACACAGAAATCATCGATAGATACAGCGATAGCAGGAGGCTCGACATCTGCGAGGCACTACACATCTAAAAGTCAACACCAGCAATCAACAGCCAATTAACGCACAACTATATTTTACCCACTTCAAGACTTCGAACCAATATAGAAGCATCAAGAGGAAGTGGTGATGCTATGGGTCAATATATATATATATATATATATATATATATATATATATATATATATATATATATATATATGCAAACAAGCCTGAATGGTCCCCAGGACTATATACAACTGAAAACTCACACCCCAGAAGTGACTCGAACCCATACTGCCAGGAGCAACGCAACTGGTATGTACAGGGACGCCTTAATCCGCTTGACCATCACGACCGGACATAAGGAAGTGATAGCCGAAGCTATTTGAACCACTTCCCCGCCAGCACTCGGATGGTAATCTTTGGCATAGCATTTTATCAAATCACCTCATT